AGCTTCCTCTTGGCCTTTCTTCCTTTTCCCTCTGTCGTAATGCCCTCTGCAAAGGGAGGGTCACAGCATTACCGAAAAGCTTTGCAGTAAGTATTCCTTCAAACAGACCACCCTATCTTAGAATACGTTTTTCTTTCTTTAGGTTTCCTTCAGGTTGAGCACAATTGCTGGGGATCGTAAGTACTTTTCTGTGCAATGCTATGGGATGGGATGATATTTCTTCCTACTGGAATGTATTCTTCCCATTCTAGTTTGCATGCCTGGGAATTCTTAGTGGTCTCCCATCCATGCACTACTAGCCAAACTTAGCTTTTAAGAGATAGCCAAGGTCAACTGGGTGCTCTGCCGTTTGTTCTTAAACATTTACCCGTCTCTCTGATTTAGGTTGGCTATGGACCAGTGTAATTTATTTTATTTATTTTAAGGTACGGTTTATTTTATTGTGGTTTTGTTCCAAATGGTGTTTACTGTTCTCTTACGAACTGCTCAGGCTTCATGGGGAGAAAGCAGCGCAGATAACAAATAATTTTTTGGCATCCCAAATCGGGACATGAGTGGCTGGAATTCTGGACTTGTAGATGGGCTGGGAAAGGGGCAAAATGCCATCCCTTCTGAGCAGAAATGCTGTCTCCTTACCTCTGGAGTGCAGGGGTGGGGTGGTAGCTAGGACCTGCAAAAAGGGTCAGAAGGAAATGTCGCTCTACTCGGGCCCCATCAGTCTGGGCCAACGCGGTGCCCAGCTTGCCTGACAGCCTCGCCCCGTGCCTGCCCGCTCTCTGTGGCTGCTTCTCCAGAGCCCGCTGGTGCCCGCTGCCATCCCTGGAGGCCGAGAAACTCTGCCCCCCGGGAGCCTTTCAGCCCCTCTGGATATTCAGCCATTGTGACATCACCTCTGCATCTTGCCCTGCATGCAGAGAGGAGGCAGTGGATTGGCTGGAGGGGAATCTGAAATCCTTCAGGGAGACCCCCGGGGTGGGCAGAGAGCCGGGTGAGCTGGGGGCATCCGGGCATTTCTTCTGGCCACGCTTGGAATGGGCAGTCAGTGACTTTTGGAGAGCGCCCAAGCACAGAGGGGGACAATGATTTTTCAGAGGGATCTTTTGAAACTCACGTTGGTTATTAAAGCATAAATGGGTTGCGTTTGCTGTCTCTGTGTGTGGTTCATTTCAGTAAATGAAACCAATCGGAGGCGGGCACCTAGCTGCAGATTTAAAAACCAAACATTGGTCCAAATAAAATGCAGTGGGATGGCATCTGATTTTCACCTTTGTGAAATGTCCAAAATAATGTGGACAGTTTCCTTGGGAGGGGGGAATTAAATATTACATGGTGATTGATTTAACCCCAACAGGTAAAAACACATTGATGTGCTGCTTTGGCCAAACGTCTATACAATCTGGAAGGAATATGGAGGGGACCAATACACATGATTGGGGCTGAACAAAAAGCAAACATGTGCATTGTACTGATATTTAATCCAAAAGAAATCAGAACCAAGAACTGTATTTTCAGAGCAAATGTCCTGGCAATGCCCACCAGTTCATTTGCACATTGAATCTCAGGCTCGACCAGATTACTAAGTAAACCCATTTTCTGAGTTGCACAATGCACTGAAATGCAAGCTAGCTAAATGGAGTGGTTTGCAATCAGGCTGAGCCACAGAGAAAGTAACCATGTTTACAATTAACCAAGTTTAGCATGCTCTGCTAATGCAGCCCCCGGATTTTAACTGACCTGGTTAAATGTGTTCAACTCCCAGAATTCCCCAGCCAGCATGCTTTAAGATGGGTGGACTTCAACTCCCAGAATTCCCAGCCAGCATGCATTAAGATGGGTGGACTTCAACTCCCAGAAT